GGGTTTCGCCATGTTGGCCAGGCTAGTCTCGAACTCCTGACCTCAAGTGATCCCCCCACCTCTACCTCCCAAAGTGCTGGGATTATAGGCATGGACCACCACACATGGCCTCAAGCATCATCTTTAAAAGTATTCTTCACTACTCTGTATTTTCTGACTGTACTTTTGTTTACTGCAGTGTACTTTTACCTACACTACATTTGTATCTCTTATTCGTTTATCCACTTTCTTCATGTAATGAAGGCTTATAAAAGACTTATCTATTTTGTTTACTATTATTTCTTCCACATATCTAATAGTGTCTGATACATAATAGCAGTTCATTGTTACATAAATGGATGAATTAAGAATGGTTACATGAATGAATGACTCAAACTAATGCCAGGCATTGGTTAGTTTTATCCAACTAAAACTATTTACTTTGTTAGATCATGCATATTTTATACAGTTTGGTAGTTTGTTTTTTCCTGAAGTTTATGACATCCCTTTTTTTCTCTCATTTTGTGTAAAAGCTGTGTTTGCTTACCTCACATTATCTTCAGTATCTTTAATATGAATCATGCCATTTAGTCCTGAATTTTAATCTTAGTTTCATTCCTTAATTTTATTCTTCTTGAACCCCACAGACTTTTGGCTCTAATTTGAACTTACGTCTGTATAAACACGCATTCTTGCACAGATATTTCATTGACCCTTACATTTCTAAGGGCCTTTCTTATTCCCTTGGGTGGTTAAAATGAAAATCTTGGATTTATACTTGACCTTGCTCTTTTGTTCACATCGACCATCTAATCTTCTAGCAAATCTGATCAGTTTTAACTTCAAAATCTAATCCAAATCCAGTATTTTCTCAAGTCCTCCACTACCATGCTTATTTCTCAGCTGGATCACTGCCATGATCCCAACTTAGCAACCACACTGTCTTTGTTTTAAACTTTATTTCCCCCTAGAAATACCTTCCAGGAGCCTTCCATCCTTCTGCTCTGATTTGGACAGATTGCTCTCCAGGCCTGCTTTAGAACTGTCATGTTGGGACTTCTCTTTATTTCTATTTTGGTTTAAATTCACCTTTTACTGGATCCAATGTCTTAATCATGCTTAGTTAATCCATCATTTTGCCAAAGTATATCCTCAAATCAATCTCTCTCACTGACATGCTCTCACGTATGT